CGCCCTATAGGACGCACCGTCCCATAAGGCGCACCTAGTTTTTTGGGGGGAAATAAAGGGGGGGAATTATTTTTTCCCCAGGTACGGGGCTGGGGCGGGGGAAGCCCGAGCTTCCCCCAACCAGGCAGCTCTCTGCAAGCCGTGGGAGCCCAGCGCTGGCTCCCGCTGCTTGCTGAGAGGTCCGCAAAGCCTGGACGCGCTGAGCTCAGCGCGTGCAGGCTTCAGCATGCGGGCAACTCTCCGCAAGCAGCGGGAGCGCTCCGCTGCTTGCGGAGAGGTCCGCGAAGCCTAGAGAAACAGAGGGGTCGGTGCGCACTGACCCCTCTCGCTCTCCAGGCTTCAGCGAAAGCCTGCATTCGCCCCATAGGACGCACACACATTTCCCCTTCATTTTTGGAGGGGAAAAGGTGCGTCCTATAGGGCGAAAAATACGGTAATTTCAAAACTACAATCAATAAAACAACGGCAAGCCACAGTGCATAAAATAATGCAATACAAATTGAGAAGCAGAGACTGGAGGGTGGGGCAAAGCAGGTGGAAGAAGGCCTTGCCTGATGGAGTCTCTCCCCTCACCTTAATGGCAACTACTGGAGAAAGGTTGCTGATCAAAGCTGCCCCTGGTTTCTAAATCACTCCAACGCTGCTGAGAGGTTTGCAAGTACTAACAGGGAATGATTCCTGCTTGCCAACCTCTACATTCTGATCAGCCACCAAGGCTACTATACCAGGCCAGAAGCCCAACTGAAAAGGGCCACCAGAAAAGACCTCATCCAGATATGCTTGAAGTTACTCTGACAGTGCAGTCCTTGAAACTTCACCGTGTACTATGTCAGGATTAACGGTTCGCCATTTAAAAAATTGGCGGATGCTCTAAGCATCCTGCCCGGGGATCGAGGGCCAGGGTAGATTACTGCAGCCAGTTTGCTAGGATAATCTAATGCTTTCAAGTAGGATTTCTCTGTGTTCAATCCCCCCCCCATGATTATTCCTTTCAAATCAAACCCATGAACCTGAATGCCCCCAAATGTTTGTGCTGTGTATAACCCTGCTCTATCACTACAAACAAAATCATCGCTTTCACCTGATCCCAGAAACTTTGCTTGCCTCAAATCAAGCTTGACATTTCATCAGATTTCAAGGAAATAAACAACGATCTGACTTTTAGAAGACACCTGAAGGCAGCCCTGTTTAGGATAGTTTTTAAAGTTCGATGTTTTATTGTATTTTTAATATTTTGTAGGGAGCCACATAGAGTGGCGAGGTAGAAATAATAAAGTATTATTATTATTATTATTATTATTATTATTATTATTATTATTATTGCAAGGAAATTTTTAAAAGCCGCTAGAGGATCTGCTGTACTCCAATAAACTAATATAGTGGTACTGCTTTGGATACTATTCATACTAAGTTTCATGCAAACGAAACAGTATCAAAAGCAACATCCAGCTGGTGTCCTAATACTTTGGAGAAACTACCTTTTCTGCCTGTAAGGAAAGGAGTTACCGTATTTTTTGCTCTATAAGACTCACTTTTTCCCTCCTAAAAAGTAAGTGGAAGTGTGTGCGTCTTATGGAGCGAATGCAGGCTGCGCAGCTATCCCAGAAGCCAGAACAGCAAGAGGGATTGCTGCTTTCACTGCGCAGCGATCCCTCTTGCTGTTCTGGCTTCTGAGATTCAGAATATTTTTTTTCTTGTTTACCTCCTCCAAAAACTAGGTGCGTCTTGTGGTCTGGTGCATCTTATAGAGCGAAAAATACGGTAATTCATTAAACCACTGCACCCTTCGGTTGAATTATTCTTCAGTAACCATTTACTTAAGTGTCAGAAACTACTCACTTGGGGAGAGACCCAAAGTAGTTCGTGGAAGCTGCCTTATACCCAGTCAAACCGATGGTTCATCTGGCTCAGTTTCGACTGACAGCAACTTTCCAGAAAGAGAGCTTTGAGGCAGAGCCCGTGGTTTGCATGCTCAGCGTCCCAGGTTAACAGTCCCTGGCATATGCAGATTAAAGGGATCCTGGGTTGCTAGAGATGTGTGGAAGACCCAGGGAAAGACTCTACCATTAGGCAGACTGTGGCAGCCGATTTAGGCTGCCAGGAAGAGGCAGCACAATATTTACTTTACTGTTGTAATTTCACTCCCGTGGAGAGCAGTTGTGGGGTTTTACTGTCTTAGCTTTTCTTCTTTCATTCAAGACTTGCTTCTCTACCTTGATATGGGACCTAGTCGCACCATCTGCCTCAAGCAGCAAAATGTTTTGGGCTGTCCCTGGAGGTCACTTTCTGCCAGACTCCCCAGAGAGCCCGTGCCAGCTAGAGTAGATAATATTGGACTAGGAGGACAATCAGCCTGACCCAGTGTAAGGGAGCTTCCTAGGTTCCTCCCTGACTGGATCCACCTTGGATCCAGCTGCTCAGTTATCTCTGCACAGTGGAAATATTTGCACATTTCTCCCTTTCAGACAAGCCCAAGGCTGGCATGTGGAAATGCATGTACCCCAAGGTTTTCGGTTGCACCATGGGTAGATTGATGTACTCTTGATTCTAAAGACAGCTTTCGCCGATCAGGCGATTGCCAGAGCAGGCGGAGGCAAAGGAGGACTTCTACGCTAGGCATGTGCTTCCTGCTGGAAGAGTGCTCTAAGCACATCACTTCTTGAAAAGAACTCATAAGAGAAAGAGGGGGGAACCCAACACTAATTAGCAATGGGTCAGTTTTTGAAGTGCAGTGGTTTGGTGTGTCCTGCAGATGGGCTTTCTTGGCCAAGGGTCATTGCTACATAAAAGGGCACTGAGTGGCAACAGGGTCCTTGTTCTCAGGAACAAACTTCTCTGAGGAAAACCTAGTGGTAAATGGGTTCCCCCACCAGTGAGGTCAACCTTGGGCATCGTAATGTTACAGAAGGAAGAAGAAGTGCAAGGGCCTCTGTCTACTGTTTCTCCACATTTCTATCTTGCTTTCACATCTCTCCACTCAGGAGATGTGCAAACTGTCCCTGTATTGGCGGCTTTTGCATCCTTCAGATTAGTTTCTGATGGAGGGGGGGAGGGGAGTAACAGGAAGACTGGGTCCTTATGCTTCCTGTCCTGTCCAAGTCTACAACCTGGTTGCAACTGAAGCAATAACTGACATGGTTGCCTAAAGCAACCTCAACTGACCTGATGTCCATCAGATGTTTTGGACTATAAGCCATGACAGATGGGGCTGATGAGAATTGTAGTCCAAAATAGCTGGAGGGCGCCGGTTGGCAAGGGCTGGCCTAAAGTAATGGGAAGGATTACTCTGATAGAAGCTATTGCGAATATTAATCCATAGTCCATTTGCCCTGGTCCTCCTTTTGTGCCCAGACACAACCTAGCCTTTTTGTACATTCGGGCAAATGGCTTCTGTGGAATTAATTAGCAAATCATGTTATGTCTGAAACTGAGCTTATAGCATTAAATTAGTTTCTCGGGGCCTATTGCTGAGCCAGCAAGAGGGTTGTTATTTAGAAAAACAAGCACTTAGTTGTACTGCTTAGTTTCGCTCCCTGGTAGAAGAAGAAGAATGTTTACCATTTAATTAACCTCATGTGGCATGGTGGGAATGGATGGCAAATCAATAATGAATGTCATTACAGTCACCTTGTGCAACTGCAATTCTGGTTTTCAAACGAGGGGGAATGATAATGAGTCTTGATTTCTGCAGGAGCACTTTCAGTGGTAGGCAGGTGATTAGTTATGAAGCTCAGCGCTCCCACTGGAGGAATGAAGAAAGCTGGCTGCAAAACTCTCTGAGAAGACGAGCCAAGGGACTGGAAACACAAGATGGAGGACACTGTTTATTGGCTTGTCCTGTTATTTATTTTTCATCTCAAAAAGCCTTAAATTAAGAACTCAGTGGTGCTTGTGTGTTTAGGAAGGGAGTTAATGGGTGTGGGATGCAGTAAACAGCAATTTTGCATGTGACCAAAATGTGTCTCTTCCCGTACTTGTGAACACATGTGACACAGGAAGTTGTCTTAACTCAGTAAGACCATTGGTCCTTCTCTTGCTCAGGGTTGTCCACACTGCCTGGCAGCAGATCTCCAAGGTTTCAGTCAGAGTCTCTCCTAGGAATCAAACCTGGGACCTTCTGCATGCAAAGCAATGCTCTACTACTGAACTATGGCCCTTCCCCTGTGACTTCAGAGGTGGCCATCATTAGCTGCTTCATGTCATTTTGTCATGGAGAAGCATGACAAAATGGTGCAGGTTCTATTTCTGGCTATGTGTGGCCTCTCCCACAATAGACAAAAAACCCAAATAATATAAAGAGCAAAGTCCAACAGGAAAATCATCCCATTGAAAAGAATGGGAAACTGCACAAGAGGAGACGACTCCCATGGATTTCACTAAAACTTGCACAGGGAGCTTCCCATCGGAGTGTGTCACTTAAATCATAGTAACCATTTCTAAATAGGCACATATGCAATGCATTGTTGGGGCAATGCAAAGCTGCTCATCAGTCTGGATTGTATTCAAATTCCAGTAACTGGAATTACGTTCATTGTATGCAACTAAGGTCGCAAGAGGGACGCGGGTGGCGCTGTGGGTAAAAGCCTCATCGCCTAGGGCTTGCCGATCGAAAGGTCGGCGGTTCGAATCCCCGCGGCGGGGTGCGCTCCCCGTCGTTCGGTCCCAGCGCCTGCCAACCTAGCAGTTCGAAAGCACCCCCGGGTGCAAGTAGATAAATAGGGACCGCTTACAAGCGGGAAGGTAAACGGCGTTTCCGTGTGCAGCTCTGGCTCGCCAGAGCAGCTTCGTCACGCTGGCCACGTGACCCGGAAGTGTCTCCGGACAGCGCTGGCCCACGGCCTATAGAGTGAGATGGGCGCACAACCCTAGAGTCTGGCAAGACTAGCCCGTACGGGCAGGGGTACCTTTACCTTACCTTAAGGTCGCAAGAATTGCATGTCATTAGGAATCTGATCATACTGTGAGCTTTGCTATTTGAACAATGTTTTGTCACATTGCAGCTCCAGAAACTGAAACGATCGCTGTCTTTCAAGACCAAAAGTTTACGGAGTAAAAGTGCAGACAACTTTTTCCAGCGGACAAACAGTGACATGAAGTTGCAGGTAGATTTGCTATCAGAAATCAGCCCCAGAACTGGCCAGCTCTCAGCCTCTGAAAGTCAGACATCTACTCCCACCATAGTCCAACACCAACAGGAAAGCAACAAGACTCACATTTTCCAGGAGCACATATTCAAAAAACCTACGTTCTGTGACATCTGCAACCACATGATTGTAGGTAAGAATGGTTTTGCTTCTTCCCAAGCACCTAATGTACAATGGTATTTTCCAGCATGTGATAAAGAAAACTTGGGCTGATTATCTGAATCTTTTAAAATGTGCATGCAAGACCTCTAGGCAAATTTTGTCCAAAGGATCCATTTCCTTTTATGTATTTATCATGATAGAAGGGTTTGTTGACCCTTGAGAATTCCAGAGCTCTGAATCTTATAAGTGTGCAGAATAATATAAATAGGAATCAAATAACTATGTAAGCTTTTCATTATAATATCACATCCAAGGCTTAAGCAGCAAATGCTATCAGTCTGAAATGATTGCAAGCCTTTGGACCCAATCAAGCAGTTTGCACCAATTAAGATGTCACTTGAAAGCTTAGGCCTGTAGACAATATTTATGCAGTTTAATTTTCAGAAACATTCATGAAATTTACAAATTTCTCAGATGCCTGGCTAGCCCACACTTCTGTGACATCAGAGCATTCTAGACTAATAAGAGGTGTATTATTTATTTATTATGCATTTTACTTGCTAGACATCTCATAAACAAGTTCTTGAGCCACAGGCATGGTGGTTATATATCTTTGCTGTGCAGATCAGCTGTTCGCCACTGGACGATTCTAATAGTTTCATACCCTAGTGGTTAAGATTTTGCGACAAGATGCCATAAAATATATTGTACTAATCTCCCCCTCACTGACATGGGAGTCCACTGGACTAGTTAATGCATCTGATCACTCAAAACCATCTTCTGACTAGATCATTGGCCAATTGTGACAAAGTAGAACCACTGTGGTCTTGCAATGTGGGTGAGGAGCTGCATGAGACGTTGGATGGAGGTCATAATTGTATAGAGAAGGGGAATTATATAGGAATCATTATGTCATCTGTGCACTGTGGTGTTTCTGCATGTTAGCCAGAGCTAACCAAACATTTCTCCTGATAAACCTAATGATCTACAAATTCTGAGAATGTATTTCTATGGTCCTAGAACCTAAAGATTGTTAGAAGCCATGCTTCTATAGGAAAAGAATAATATATCTTACGGGAAAGATTCATAGAGTTGTAATGATGTTGAAAGAGAGATGGAATCCAAGAAGTGGTATCTGGCAGGAAGCTGGAAGAGGAACAATAAATATACTCTTGAAGATAACTGATACAAGGTTTCATAAGCAGATACTTCCTTCAGCATATTTTGGAAGTTCTCACACTGATAGGATTCATGTAAGCAAATAAGTCTGTTTTCTGTACCGGTTAGGCAAAGATTGTTCTGCGATATAGTCTAACATAATGGTCTTTTACGCTAACTAGGGGGGCAAAACTTTGCCCAATATGATTTGTCTGCCAGTGGTAATGCGGAAATCCCAAATTGCCAACCATCTTATGCAGCACTTATTTCACCAAGCTGTTTGTCAGGTGCTTTTCATGTTGAGCAAATTAATTTCAAGGGAATTCCGATCTTGGAGAGCATTGTAGACTTTCAAGAAACAAGAGCTACGTGTCCCCCCACAACCCCCCACCCCCAAATATATATTGGGAAATTTTTACTTTTAACATATTTTCTGTATATTTAAGTTAATTTCAGCAACAGTGGAAGCACATTTGAGAGGAGAGTTTGAAATTTACAAAGCGGGCATACTTTTCCCCTATCCAAGTTTGAATAAAAAATGTATAAAACATATTCTGAATTGAAGTGTGCAATTTAAAAACTTGCAAGAGCTTTGCAAGACAAGGATATTTTTCTTAGTATTCTTTTCAGCCAAGATTCGGTGAATATCCAGAATATCCTTTTTACTCTTACCAATGTATAAATTTAGCTGGTTTCTTTTTGACTGCCGTTGGATCATTACAACAGTTGTTGGATAAACTGAATGGCAACCATGAGGCCTGGGGACAGAGGAGAGGGTGCAACAAAATGCAGTGCTTTGATTAGTGCACTCTAAAAACCTTCAACCCCCCCAGACCTTTACATACATGTGTCTGGAGGCATATTCAGCCCTTTCAAAATAAAACGCATGCACAAATATTATGGAAACCGGGGAAGATGTGGTGGAACAATGATGTTTTTGCAGAACCACCCCAAGCAAGCAGACAAACAGTAAAGTTGCACCAGTGGTAGCGAATGCTGGATATTTAACAATAAAGCACTTAAAAGGCTGCAAGTTAACTTCACTACGAAGATATAGGGCTGGATCTGCAGGCTACAAAAAGAGATGTATTACACACATGTACATGGGATGCGGGTGGCGCTGTGGGTTAAACCACAGAGGCTAGGACTTGCCGATCAGAAGGTCGGCAGTTCGAATCCCCGCGACAGGGTGAGCTCCTGTTCCTCTGTCCCAGCTCCTGCCAACCTAGCAGTTCAAAAGCATATCAAAGTGCAAGTAGATAAATAGGTACCACTCCTGCGGGAAGGTAAACAGCATTTCCATGCGCTGCTCTGGTTTGCCAGAAGTGGCTTAGTCATGCTGGCCACATGACCTGTACGCCGGCTCCCTCAGCCAATAAAGCGAGATGAGCGCCGTAACCCCAGAGTCGGCCATGACTGGACCTAATGGTCAGGGGTCCCTTTACCTTTACAACCATGGTGTTTGTGTAATTGTGTTTGTGCATGCCAACAAAACATTCTAGATCCCTGAATCAATTCCACAAGTGCTTATCGTTCAAAAAGAGTGAAAGCTTTTTGTTCTGGATTCTGCACAAGCTGTGTTTATTTAGGAATAAATTCTGGGTCTTCGTGCTATTAAATTCTCCATGCAAAATAGGGTATCAACATATCACCTGGTTCAACCTCTTCTGACCCTGCAGATGTTGTTGGACTCCAACTTTTGCAATCCCCACCCAGCATGGCCAATGGCCAGAGATGATGGGAATTCCCCTTGAACATCTGGAGGGCCCTCCATACGTCATGTACTGACAAATATAATCGTGTGAAAAATGCAGTAGTGTAAACCTACCCTTTGTTTCAGATGAAAATAAGGGTTTTCTTGGTTTTTCACCCGATGTGTCTTTGCTGTCTAACCTATCCTAATAAGAGGCAGATACAATGAGAATGCTGTATTTAATATTTCCTGTACAAGATGTTGAGACTCTTGTTATGTATGGATTCAGGATACCACTGAGGCCTACAGACTATGCATGATGGTAACATTCCATGAAGCCGAGAAATATTCTAATTCCTCAGGCTGTTAGAACAGCTCGGTTAACAGATTCAGATAGGTAGCCGTGTTGGTCTGGCGCAGTCATATATATATATATATATATATATATATATATAAAGGTAAAGGTACCCCTGCCCGTACGGGCCAGTCTTGACAGACTCTAGGGTTGTGCGCCCATCTCACTCAAGAGGCCGGGGGCCAGCGCTGTCCGGAGACACTTCCGGGTCACGTGGCCAGCGTGACAAAGCTGCATCTGGCGAGCCAGCGCAGCACACGGAACGCCGTTTACCTTCCCGCTAGTAAGCGGTCCCTATTTATCTACTTGCACCCAGGAGTGCTTTCGAACTGCTAGGTTGGCAGGCGCTGGGACCGAACAACGGGAGCGCACCCCGCCGCGGGGATTCGAACCGCCGACCTTTCGATCGGCAAGCCCTAAGCGCTGAGGCTTTTACCCACAGCGCCACCCACGTCCCATATATATATATAGCACCTTAGAGACCAACTAAGTTTGTTCTTGGTATAAACTTTCGTGTACATGCACACTTCTTCAGATACACATATATTTTGAATAAGTACAATGGTACCTCGGGTTAAGTACTTAATTCGTTCCGGAGGACCGTTCTTAACCTGAAACTGTTCTTAACCTGAAGCACCACTTTAGCTAATGGGGCCTCCTGCTGCCACTGCGCCTCGGGAGCATGATTTCTGTTCTCATCCTGAAGCAAAGTTCTTAACCTGAAGCACTATTTATGGGTTAGCGGAGTGTGTAACCTGAAGCGTATGTAACCCGGGGTACCACTGTACACCCTTAAGCAAAGTTCTTAACCCGAGGTAATATTTCTGGGTTAGCGGTGTCTGGAACCTGAAGCATCTGTAACCTGAAGCATATGTAACCTGAGGTACCACTGTATTCAGTTTTTGCAAAGGAAAAAAATGAGAATCAGAGTATTTATGGATGCAAGGCAGGTTCCAAAGCCCTGAATTTTTATGGCCACTTGAGTCTTTTTCTCTTTTTTTAGCTGAAACTAGTTCTGATTTATTATGTGATTTATTTGTCGGCTAATAATATAGAACTTGCAAGGAATGTAAAAGAGCAATGCTGATGATTATTCCCAACCACCTAGCCTGCCCTGTCCAACATTATATCCAGTCTGGTTTGGTTTGGTTTAGTTTAGTCATATTTTTCCATTCACCCTTGAGATAACATGTTAATGTATTTTCAGGGTGGTGAGGTAGGGAGGAGTCGAGATTCTGCAGGAAGATACAATTTAAGAGCCCGTCTGGGCTGAAACTGCAAAGCCAGCACATCAAAACATCATGCTGTTACTTTGATGTTCTTTGGCCCCTTTTCTTTCCTTCTTTCTCTGTAGTGTTTTCATGTACAGCTTTCCACTGAAGAAAACAAGTGCTGGAAAAAAATATCCTTTTTTTAAAAACACCCAAAAAAACCCCATGCTATTCCTGAAGTCCATTTCCTGTAGTGACTCGAATGGAAAAAATCTTCACTTTCCACACATTCTTTGCATACTGCGCCTCATCATTTGTGTCAAATCCCTAAAAACATTCCCTCCAATTTATTGTTAGGTTTTGGTGCACATCCGTCTCCCCAGAACTGGTTAGAGCAGCAGAATCAGGAAGGAACTCAAAAGCAAGATTGCATAATATATCTTGTTGCTTCGGTGAATGTTCTCTTGACGCCCCTTAGCTGGAAGAGCAATCATTCACTTTACGTTTTGCAATGTAATCAATTGCAATTTCATTTCACTTTTATGCAATATAAATTAGATCTCCCTCCCCTCAAAATACAACCATCATTGAAAACTATCAGAGATGCATTAACC